TTCTTACTTACGTACGTAATAATATATTNTTNTTTTCTTTTTCTTTCTTCTCTCTCTCTCTCTCTCTCTCTCTCTCTCTCTCTCTCTCCCCCTCCTATTGCTATAAAAAATTATTCGAAATCCTTTCTGTAGACTTACGTCTTTAGGTTATGGCCTAGTTTTCCATCATAAAAAAATATTCTGGCGAGATTGAATAGTGTTTCGGTGAATAATTCAGACTTATTTAGGTTAAGATATATAATAGGATGTCTACAAATTAGGTCAGATTCTTTTTCTATTACAATAACAACTTATTTCGCCGATATAAAAAAGGGAATAGAAACTCGATAATCGATTGGAATTACGTTATCGTAAATTATAATCGAGCATTCCATAATAGAATCAAACGAAGGTATCGATATGTGTAGTACGTACGTCGATAAGAATGCTCGGTCGGTAATCTCGTCTAGTAACTATTTCCATCGTTCGATATCGATCCAGAAGGATTCACCTTTAACTTCGTCCATTAGATCTGACGGATCAAAGATTCGTTAGAAATTCGCCGGAAGTCGAATTCCTGGCCCGTGGTCGGACGATTACCCGGGGATTGAAGTTTTTCGCAAAGCTGGTCGACGAATTAATCCCCCGAAGGGAACGCGTCACGGTTTAATTCTTCAGAGGGGGATTTAAAGTGGCGCGGGGGCCAATCGAGACACGCGATTAAGAGTTAACAACAGGCAAAGAGCCGAACAATTGGGCCGGCGGATACGGAAGGCAGAAGATTTAAACGTCTGCTTAAAGGATCAGCCGATAAGATGGTCTCGCAGCCAAGTTTCATTTGACATTTAAATCGAACCATACTCGAACGATCCTTAACCTCTTTCGCTTTTGTACCCTTCGAATCGGAAGCGTTCTTTGGTGTACAGGGCGAGCAGAAGCAGATACAGAATACGTAATATTGTTCTTTCAGAAATTTTTATACGATTCTTTGAATTTTATTTAATATTTTGTAGAATTGGAAGGTATTTTAAATTTTTTAAGTGTTATAGAAACATTTTGTTAATAATTGAGAACTCTTCAGTTGTACAAAGTGATTAAAAAGTGATATGTTATGTAACGTAATGATATTTACTATTATTTGAGAGAAACTGAGATAATTACTTTTACTTACTGTTACTTTTTTTTTTTAATTTTGATTCAAGAGTTATTGTGAACAAATATCGTTGATTGTATGAAATTCTTTTTGCGAATAACTTAACCTTAATATCCATTGATCATAGTATATGTATATATAATCTACTTGAATAAAGATCGCCTTTTACAAAGATTTAAGATAGCGTTTACAAAGACTTCTAGATGAATGACAATATATTTATATAAATTATTTAAGAAAAGAAAAAATTATCATTTCCTGATCTTGGCAAATTTATCCTTTTAAGAGATTAAACATGCAAATTATTTCATTGCTTTTAAATTTATCCATTCTTTCCATTTTAAATTCAAATATTTTTTAAATTACGATAATATTTTGAAAAAATGTTATCTCTGTTCACGTAAATTTACAAAAACATACAAAACAATGGATTACTTTTTAATCAAGTTAATATTACCGTGATCTATAAATAAAAAAATTTTAATTTTATTAGAATGACGTCAAATTTAGAACAAAGTTTATAACAAAGAAGCGCAAATTATCGTATTAGTTCGAAACAATCTTTTCAATTTTACGAAAGTATATAATTGAAATTCTATAAACGATGTATTTTCCAGAAATTTATTGGTAAATTTTGTACAATTACGTTTTGTACGTATTGTTTGATAAAGAAATAAAAGAGTAATTAACTCGAATATCTCTTTCGTTCTAGCGCTGTTCGGCCGGAAAGCAATTTCAATCTGAATTTCTGAGATCTTCGATACATTTGAA